TTGATGGGATAGAGGGATTGGAAATGAATGGGTGATTGCCTTCCCAAATTCGGTTGATTGAGTTTGAATGGTAACCTGGGAGAATTGGCTGAATCATTTTTGTGGGGTCAGCTGGGTATCTGACACATCTACCTCCAGGGACTAGTCTGCTCTTCCAAGTCCTGCCAATGAACCAGCCTGACTGCTGTTGTCAGCAGTGCCCTGAAATACCGTGGACCCGGCTGGCTCAGGAACTGGACTACTGACACTGCCAAATATGATACCTTGGAGCCAGTTCAGATCCTGTTTACCTCCCCCCCCACCCAGGAGGATAGTCACACGTTTCTCATTTGACATCCGACAAGTGTGGGCTTGAGCCTCACTAGGTGGATGGTAGGTACCAGAAACTCCCTCCAAGCTTCCTAGAGGGCAACACCGCTCAGTGTGAGGTGTGGGAGCATTGTCACTATCTTCCTGTCTGCAGTTCGGACACGCATCCTTTGGTGAGTGATGGTTCCACCAGTTGGAGGTGCAGGCTCAAGCAGCAGCTGCTTACCTCTCTACAAACCAATTAAGGTGAATTCCAGGTGTTGGATGTGTGAACATGTATTCACGAGCTTGGACTCCAAGTATCGCCTTCCAACAGTTGTCACTCCAAGCCTCCGTATACTCTTCAACTATCTGGTGGACATCTGCTTTCAGCATGATGGGAGGACCTTCACAGGACAGCTTGATGTTCTTGAGGTTCAAGTCTAATGCCACCTTCCTGTCTTAAGATGAGAAGCACTTAGAATAAGTATTAAGCTCATTTTAAAAGGACAATAACAAATTATGATTGCTGTGGCTTGTCCTTTTAAGTAGAGCTGTCCTCAGGAGAGGATGATGAATCTTTATTGGGTTTAAAAATAATTTGCTCTATTCACAGTTCCAGGAAATGTTGCAGGTCTTGTTAAATTTCCTGGTGTCCACAATGCAGAACTGTTTATTTCAGTTTTTTCAATTCACTGGTGGAGTTTACAAGTCCCATGCCCCAGGCCAGAATACACTTTGTTCTTTTTCCACAGGAAGGAAAATCAAGATTTTACAAGATAATATGTGAAGGTTGTGTGTGTGTAATATTGGGTTAGTAATTTGAAACTTCCTCCGCATTGAATTTGGTCTGCATCAGTTCAATTATTATGTAATGGTTACACATTTTGAATGAGTGGCACTTTACTGCAGGGTTTATATTCCTGGAGTAATGTCATTCATTCGTGATTTAGAGCAGAAATTATATTTATTTTCCCATTTCACAAATTCCTCTAGCAAGCGGTCTAGAAGGGTCGGCACATAACACCTGCAAATAAACTCCATGAACACTGCTTAAGTTTTTTGGAAGAGCCAATCACATAATCATTTATTTAATAGCATTAAATGCTTCTGGTTGGATGGTTCAAAAAGAGTTTAAACAAGTTTTTTTTAAATAATACAGCTGATTTAGTGCAGCTGAAGCATTGATTCAATTCCATTTATGAGATTTTTTTGTGGTGGGATTCAAAATTGAATCTGTTTTAACCTGATTTATCTCTACACTTCATCATAAATTCAATGTAAAAACATTGAATTGTGTAAATAGTGCTCAAGTAGCAAGAATTGGCAACCAACCTCTGGGCTGGTTCAAAACCGAATGAGCAGAAAACCCCTCTTCATTAAACTGAGATGGTCAGTTTCAATCAGTAAACATAATTAATTACTGTCTTGATGGTAACACTTGGATGGGAGGGAGTGGGGAGGAAGTTGGTGGTTGACGTTTCATGGGGAAGGAAGGAGTAGAAAGAAGTGCTGGTGATCAAAGAATGAAAGAACATGTGTAAGATTATAGAGGTCATAATGCATATCATTAAGTGATGTGCTGGATAAGTTGTGCAATTTTCAGATTTCTATATCGAACAAATGAAAGAATAAAGATCATGTCTGAATAACTGTACTTGATCTGATCATTTTTAAAATAAAGATATCTTGAAGATGTGATAAGGTGCTATAACAAATGCAAGGATTGTTATAATAACATCTTGCTTTGTCTTAATGTACAGTTCACAAATAGGAGTTTAAATTAATACTGTAAATGTGGCAACTGGCTTAATATGACAAAAGGAGACCTTCAGTTCCTTATTTAATACCGATAACTATTCACATTCAAGCTATATTTGTTGGCCAATCGCTAATAAAATCCATCCCCCATAATTCTAAAATCCACACCACACTTCAGTGTTGTTTAACCATTTAATCATGATGTGATTTGATGTTACTTTGATGGGGATGCTGTAGCATGCCAAAGGCACTCTACTACCAAATGTATCTCAATCTAATGGCCAAAGTGACCATTCTCCTTGTGGAGGGTTGGAGGGGATGGTAAGTGGGGACCCCTTGGAGCTGAGCTGGCTGCAAAGGACATGCAGTGTCAGCCATCCAGTTCATGGGTCAGGTGGGTCTGCAGTATCTCAGAGCCCTGCTGATGACAGTGCAACCAGCCTTGCTTGTCAGCAGGTCTTGGTGGGGTAGATTGGCGGAGGGATTTTTTTTAAACTCAGATCTTGCTAACTCTAAAAGCGAAAGTCCTAATGTGTAGAAAGGTTTGAGCAAGGTACAGGAAGTGTCCTGTACAGTGCAATGGCAATCTATGCAGGGTTTTAGTTGATTAAACTCCCGTAGTAGCCCAATACACATTCTTGGGGTTCCCAAGTCTTTGTTTAAATAAAAGGCATCAACATTTAATAGGAAGTTTGCTGCATACATTAAGAGAATAAAGGAATAGGAAAGAGGATTAGGAGGGGTGGAAACCCATGTTGAGTAAACAGGCAAACTAGTTGGGCTGAATGGCTTGTTACTATGCTGTCATTCGATGAAATTCTGTATAAAACCTGGTGTACCACTTACTGACAAAGATAATTAGTTTATTGTTGCTGGCCTCAAGGATCTTATCATTGAGAGTGGCATTGGTAAGTTACCCTCCTGCATGTCCCCTAGCATTTGATGCAATTAGGTATCAAACCAACCAATATATTGTCCCCCATTGTTCCTCAAGTGACATTGAATGCTGCAGCCTTTGTTCCAATGTCATCGTCAGTAATTGTGCAGTCTGATGAATGATTGATTAATTCACTGATCATTTCAAATATAATAGAATGCTGATTTGCCCAAAAGGGGTGGAGGTGGGGATGTGCTCAGTCCTTGTACAGTTTCAACTGTTTTGTTGTTCCCTTTCCTCTTCGTCCCACACCCTACTACGTCACCCATCAGTTAAGGCTCAAACCTGCATTTGTCAGATGTTAAATGATTAACTCGTTATTATCCTTCAGAGGGAGGGCAGAGAAAGAGAAGTGCGATTTCCTTGCAGCTAAACTGGCTTGGCAATGGTACGTCAGAATCGATCAATCCTCTGCATTGGTAACCTTGGTAGTTGAGTCGTCTGGTTCCTGAGCCTGTCTGCTCTGCAGTACTCCAGGCTCACTGATAGGATTTCAAGGGCAGACCAGTCATTGGGCAGGCATTCTTCCCACTCAGCTCCGGTTAACCCTGAAAGAAAAATCCCTATTGGGTAGAGTACTCCTGGTCAGATGAGCAGCAGGAAAGTTTGCCAGAGTGCTTTCAATGGCAGCCATGCAGTTTTAGCTGGTTAAACTCCAGCAGTTCCCAATATACATTCTGGAGTCCCCAAACCTTGACTCTTACCAGTCTGCACCGAACACAGTTAAACAAGATGTGACCCTCCAGGGGAAAGAGTGCACATTCTGTTCCAATATGCATGAATTCCATGTGTAGGTGAAATGCATGAGTCCTGTAGCTCAGTGGTTAGAGCACTCGCTTTGCAAGCGAGAGACCTGAGTTCAATTCCAGGCAGTGGGCGAAACCTTTGGCAAGTTTCCTTACTCCACACAGAACCTGATAATAATCCCTCCAAAACCAAAAACAATAATAAATTGGTCATTTTCAATCTACGACTGTTTGTGGGACATTGCTGTGTGCAATTGGCTGCTGCGTTCGTCCACAAATATAGAGTCAATTCACTTTACAGTATATTCTGTGAAGCGTTTTGGGATGTCCTCCTGACGTGAAAAAGCGCTATATCAAATGCAAGGATTATTATTATAAACTCTGAATAAACTCTGCTGTATGCCCTTCAGCATGGGAATGGGTTTCCACATGTGTCAGACACTCATGTTGTATAGAAGGACTCCACAAGTTTTACTAAAGATGCCAGAACAACTTTCAAAAAGTGCCAACAGCCCCCCCACCCTCAATAAAATTGTAGGACATTGCTATGATTTAATTGGCTGCTGTGTTTCCCTTCGAATGGTCACTACACTTCATGCTAAAATGCTACGATGTGCTTTGAAACATCTTGGCAATACAATAAGGTGCTATATGAAATGCAAGGATTATTTCATATTGTATAGTGTATGTAATATAACTTTGGATTTTTTTGCTGGTGATAATTGGCTCTGTTTAACCAACAGAAAATTGTCCACCATAAAGAATATGAATTATTTTCAATTGAGATGTCCAACCTAGAAAATGGTCAAAAAACAATTGCAATTCTGTTGTCATAATCTACAACAACTTGAATTAATATAGTTACCTTCTCACAATGTGACATCTTGGTGCTTTACATGGATGGCATTGGACTCTGAGGAAGGGAAAGGTGGCCATAGGCATGTTTGTGGAGGTGGGTTTTAAATCAGGTCTTAGACAGGAGATGGAGCGAGATAAAATCGTAGAAGGAGGGAGTTTCACAGTTTAAAGACATTGGAATTGAAGGTCATCAGTGTTTCTTTCCCAAGAAGCTAGTGGTCTAACTTGCAGGTGATTGAACAAAAGGCTATTTGAAACCAATGATGTGAATCCACTGTGGTTCCACAGAGATTGCCTGAAAACAAGTTTACAATTTTAGGATGAATAAGCTGCATTTCATCACACCTCTAATATGTAATGGGAAGTGCCTTTTAACAAAAGTAGTAATGCTTTTGATTTTTGTTTTGCAGCTGACAAAAGTAGACTGAGGTCAAGCTCAACACAGAGGCCAGTTTTCCGAACATTTCGTTCTCAGACTCCGGCTCCACCAGATTTACTTGTATCAGAGAAGAAACCATCTGGTTTGGTGCACTACAAGACCAAATGTGATGAGCAGGTTAAATGGATTGCACAGTTGAAGGAATTATTGAAAACAAGCAACCAAAGATTTGAGGGTGTTGCAATAGTTGTCCAGTATCTCCAAGCACGGGTGAGAATTTACAAATAACCTCACTTCTGAGAATTTCCAAGATAATTCATGATAAAATCAGCAAGCTTGTTGATTTAACTTTGCTTTTCTAGTGCTGATCTCAGCAGCTTGACTTGACTTATAAATAGTGTGGAAGATGTTGATTGTTTTCATCATGCCTGTACTGTACCAAAGTAAGTCAGTTTTAATGCTTGCAACTGTAACAATATGATCACTCCCACCCTCGCCCTCACCCATCACTCCCACCCTCACCCGACTCCACGATCCTCGTCCTCACTTTCAAGGCCATCCATGGCCTTGCCCCCTCCAACCTCTCTGACTTGCTGACTCTCTACCAACCTGCCCACTCCCTCTGTTCAGCGGGCTCCGGTCTGCTCTATGTCTCCCGCCCTACCATCAGCGGCCGGGCTTTCAGCCTCTCTGCCCCCACACTCTGGAACTCCAGCCCACGGTCCCTTCGCCTCGCTTCCTCCCTTGCCTCCTTCAAGTCTCATGACCCTTCTCTTCGATCGTGCCTTTGGTCTCCCTCCCACCTTTCTGCCTTCCCTCACCCCTACACCACCCCTCCCCCATGCTCAGTCCCCAACACCTGACTGTTTAGCGCTTTGCGACGTCCTCCCGACATGAAAGACGCTCTATAAATGTAATTTTGTTGTTGTTGTTGTAGGATGTAGCATAGCTAAGTTTTTCTCTAGTGCCAGCAAGGTTTTGTCATGGAATGCACTCACCTTTAGAGACTTTACGTTGATTCATGATGATCTTTTGTGATCTGGTCTTTTCACTAAACATCATTAGTTAGAATCTTTTGTCCATTATGTTTTCCCCAGAGAGATGTATGAAAGATTTGCAGTTCATGCCTATTGATTTTACACCACTTTTTTTAAAAAATGGATGAAGATTAGTCAAGGAGTAGAACTAAGGGCTGAACAGTACATACCCAAGAGATGATCAAGTAATTTGGAGAAATGATGACTCTTGAAATGCAGGATCCTTAGAAATGTTGCATTAAGGAAGGGAATTGGTGAAGGATGATTCACCCTGAATGGAAATTATATTGGGTTTATTTCTGATGGTTTAGCTAACAGAAGTTTTGGATTCTAACACAGGTTTGGATGTTTGTAAAAGGAAGTATTGATTTTAGAGTTCAGCTATATTTTGAAAAGAATAAAATCTATTCAAGGAATCTAAATTATTTCTCAAAACTGGTCTGACACTTCTATTCATATTGTGCTTCATGGAGTATTGGGTTTAATGCTTGTTAAATCCTGCAAACCAAAGCTAGCTGGGTGGGTGGTCCTAGCATCGGAAAAAGTAGGAGCTTGCTAATGTTGACAATAATAAGCTGCATGGTTCGAGCTGATTAAAATCAGCAGTACCTACAATTTACGCAAAATCCCCAAATCTTGGCTCTTGGCAACCTGTGCCTAAACTTGCTAAGGAAGGTTCCTCTGTGGCATGAATGTATTCCATATGCACATTCCATACCAGACAAACAAACACCCAATTGCAGGAGTCCCAATACATTTGATTTTAATTCTCAACTCCAATAATTGGTGTAGTTACCAAGATTGTATTTTGGTCATCTTATCACAATCCAAGTTCAGAAATTAGTTGAACTATTTCAGTTTGCATTAAATTATTCATATATGGCCTTTAAAACACCCATTGCAAAGTCCTTACAACTATTCTTGTTACATTGATGTTTTAAACCTTTCTATATATGTTCCATGTTTTTAAGAAAATAGACTTAACCCTGAAAAACAAAACTGTTTGCATTTCAAACCCTTTTGTGTCCCAGTTATACAGTACTTGCTTTGGCGAATTGTGAAACGGGAAGTAAGTTTTAAACATTTTATAGTGCAAAGTACTTGATTTAAGATTGGGAAGAAATAATGATGGTTACAAAATTTACTGTAACAGACTTGAAGGGTCATTTGCTTTTCATCCATAGTTTCTTGTGGTTCAACATAAGCTAGAACTAAATATATTACACAACTTATCATTTGACCTGTTTCACTGGTTGCTACATGTTTCTGTAGGATGTAGAACAATAGAGGTATGGTAGAATATTTGTGTTTGGAGCTTCCATCTGGTGTGCGATTTAGACAGGAACACTACAATATTAAATGTGCAATTAAACCGTTTCAGAATCATTTTAATTGGCAGTTCCCATAAGTAATGAATGAACTTTTTTTTCATAAACTGCAATCTGGAAATCAAATATTTAGCAAACAACAACAAATTACACGTGTATAGCGCCTTGCACGTCAGGAGGACGTCCCAGCCACCTAAGAATTCATCGTTCAATTGATAACTAAATTTAGTATTCATATCTATCAAACATATAATGACCTTAGTTGAGTATTTTTAAGGTTCAATCTGCTGATCTTGAAGCATTCAAAAATCTGTTTCTATTTTCAGTTGATGGGTAGAGAGAGGGATTGGGAAATTCAACAATGTTGGGAATTGTTTTGGTGCATGTATTTACGGGCCAAAGAAAAAATGTAAACTAAATTGGCCTCAACCTGTTATGGTAATTTGAATTTCCAATGGTGACATCCAAACTATTTCCAAACAATGCTGTAGAATTAAATATCTCTGGTAGAAGATACTGTTGTGATTGGGTGAGGGAAGAGAAGGTGAGGAGATAGACTTTGAGTTGCTTATTGATTTTAAACAATCGTATTAGTTTAAATTGTAATGTAACTACTTGGGGGACATGCAAACAGCCCTCTGCCCCAGGTTTCAAATATCCTTATTGGGAAGAAATTAATATGAAGAAATAGATTTCATTGAAACCTTTTAATAAATTAAAAAGGCATGCTGAGTAAATGATCTTTGCTTAATCCCATGTCAAATTACAAGATTGTATCATATAGCAATCTATATTTGTTTTCATATACTTGAAAACCTGAAATTGCTGAATCCACCACTCCATTTGGTGAATTGTGATTGTGTGATCGATAGCTACTGTTTCTCTTGAGATGAGATTTAGCTCTGATAAAATAAAGTGCTGACTCTTGCAATTTGCGTGTGAATGATTGAAGATGTACTTCCATTTTCACCAGTCGTTAGATATGTTGTGGATATTGCGCATGCTACCATGACTGGGTAAGGAAGCTGATTTCTGCACTGTTAAAACAAAGGAATGGATGGACTTTAAGGAATAGTATCTTGCTGGCCTTAAGGTTATGGCCCACTTCAAATTTCTGGGGTAGAGTATCATCATACAGTTAGAAATGCAAGACATTTATTTTAAGTGAAAGAATTATTATTTTATGTTGATGCTTTTTTTGTAACCAGCCTTCTGTTAAAAAGCTTTTCAATTAAAATCCTTTTGTGTGTGTAACCAGCGCCTTGGGACGTCCTCCTGACGTGAAAGGCGCTATACAAATGTAATCTTGTCGTTGTTGTGTTTATGATATATATATATATATATATATAGATATATAGATATATATAAGCATCTTGAGCAGGGCATACCTCTTTCAATTTTAAGTAATTCAACTGTTATGCATCTGTGTTGGACAATAGAATGGTTTGCTGCTGGCTGCTGCTTATGTGAATAAACCGAAACCTAAGTGTTGTGCTTCTGATTCACGGTGAATTATACTTTAGCCTCAGGCTGGTGCTGTATCTAGTAAACCCCAGGCATCAATTTAAATTGAGCTAATCTGCATAACTTTGTGAAGGATAGGGTTGTGTCATGATGAATGTTGCAGTCAAATGGTAGTTTTTTTAATTACATTGGATGGCCACTTTATTAATATTGATTTTCAGATCATTTCCTTCCAACTGGAGGTTGCTCTGTGCATTTGTTTTATATCCGTCTCTGAATACAATGTCTGCTTTTGACATGGAAAGAGCATCTGTTAAAGGCCTCATCTTCTTGCATGTTTTTCAGTACTTGCCCAGATCAGCTCCCTTCATGATGATTACAAATAACTATCACAGGCTGGTCTATCAATCAAATGTCAGCTTTATATTTTTACATGAATGAAAATAAAATGCTAAGGACGTGTTTGTTTGAACCTTCCTCTGGGTGAGCATGTCTGTAACTTGAAAGCTTGAATTGGAAAAATGTGCATTTTAATATTATGATTAATTTAAACTTTTAAAACTTTTTTTTTACTCTTGGGTATCGTATGTTGCAAAATGTGTGTTAGTGGTATATCTACTAATTCGCACAGTTTTATTTAGTAACTTGTATCATTTCTGCGCTAAAAGTTTAATTTTCTACAGAAGTTATGGCAAAGGTGGGAACATATTTGACTTTTTCACCACCTGTTGGCTATCAATGTGGCAATATCAACACAGTGACGACAGTTACCTTATTCTCCAGTGTATATGCCCATGTGTATACTTCTGTTTTCGTTTTGCTGTGCTGTAAGAAAAATTTAAACCATGCTTTGGTACAAGTTCATTTATTTTCCCCAAACAAAAGACTGCAGAAAATTGTTTGTCTTGCTTTATTTCCTCAAATGGACTCTCTTCCTTTGGATATTATGGTAAACCTTTGTGCTTGACCAGGGATGACTTAATCTTGGCATGTGTTTTGTAAAGTTGTTCCATTGAAGCGGAATTCAGCAGAATTTTTTTTGAGAAAGGAAATGACTTCCCTGTTGGAGACACTTAACTGCAGTACGTATTAAGCCGTATACAAAAATGAGCTTTTTCCATTACTGTACTTGATGATCGATAAAGGTTTCTGGGCTCTGCTTTAGCTCCTGTCATTGGAGTAATTTAACATTGATCAGCTTTCGCTCTCTCTCTCTCGCTCTCTCTCTCTCTCCAGTTTGCAGACTCACAGGGCTGTGGCTGGTGTAATGAGCAATTCCCTGTGCCTCCCTATGAAAGCAGCTGTTTTTTTTCACAGGGCAGAGTACTGTAGGAAATGTGGTACACATCCTGAAAATTAAGAGTGCAAGGCAAGGTCCAATGGATCTCTTCCTAGCAATAACGCAAATGTAGAAAGACCAGTTTGGGTTGTGGTGCTGGCCACCTGTGCTCCTGCTTTATACATTCAAACAGCCAGGAGAGAGGGACAAAAAGCAGAGAATGGGCTGCAGCAGCAGCAAAGTATGCCTCTACGGTCCTTGTGCTGGAAAGAGGGTAACTGATGTGTTCATTGTGTGATTTACTGAGAGGAAATGAAGGCTTGGTGGCTTAATGCAAGTAGTTTCGAACCAGTTCTTTTATCTCCAGCTGTTCCTTACTGTAGTCTCAGGTTTGCCCTCTTCTTTGCAACATCAGACCTGAATAATTGTGGTGCATTGGGGGAGGCATTTTGTGAGGTAGAAACGCTTGACTGACCTACAGCATTGTTTAACCACGTTGTGTCTGTGCTTTAGGGATTAGAGAGGTTGAATTCAATTTCCTGAGCTTTATTGATTGGCAGTGAGTGAGATCTCAGCATTTATTTTGTCTAATTTATCTGCATTTGTCTGCATGTTTTTGGCTACATTTACAATTGCTGAATAATACAGTATACCCTTTGCATTTATTTTTCCTCCTTGTAACAAAATAAAGTATTTTTGAAAAACAGCTTTGTATTGTAATAACATTTCAGTGACTACCTGGCAGCAAGAAGTATTATCAGGCATTTGCTTTTTCTTAACCCAATACGAATTATAGAATGATAAAATATGATTTTGTAATATACAACGATCTCGTAATATATGAAATTCGCCACAGGAATAGGCGGTAGCGTCCAGCTAATTTATCCAGAAGGTGAAGACAGCTGAAAGCTTAAATCAAGACTCAGCCCTATACTGCTTTGTCAGCAGTACTTTATAACCTTTATCCAAAAGTATTGTATTATCGATTCTTGTTAGTCAATTGTGTGGTGGTAATAATAATAGCAATTCTTGCATTTTATACAGCACCTGATCGCGTCTTCGGGATGTTTCAAAATGCTTCACAAAATATACTGTAAAGTGAATTGACTGTATGTTTTGTGGTAAAATATTTAGACTTTTTGTTAGAATAGGATAGTTATGTGACTCTTCTGTTGTGCAATATTTTGCAAATGTAAATATGAAAGTGTTGCCTTAACTCCACTGAATACACAGCCGAAGCCAACTAAAGAATGTTGAAAATACTTTGAGAATGTCCACACTTCCCTTCAAGTATTTCAACTACTATTCGCCTGAAACTGTTAAAAACTATTAATGTAACATTATAGTTGAGGAGTATCATAGCAGACCTAAACGTGTTGTCTAGTTTAGCTGTCAGGTTTTGCTGTTCAGTTATTTACACAGTGACAAATGTTTCTCTTCACAGCGTGAAGAAGGGAACAAACAACACAAGGAGTTGTCTCAAGAGCTGCTGAATCTGCAGGGCGAATTAGGTAAGAGTAAAGAAGCTTGCGTAAAGGAAATGGCAAACGGGCTTTTAAAGAGAGCGTGTTGAACGCATTTTAAATGTAATCTGTTCTGAACTTTTAGCAACCATTTAAATGATAAAATTCCAGTGCCTTGACTCTTCCATGATAACTGTTAAAACACTTGTGCCTTAGATTTCCCTAGGGCTGGCTTTGAGTCCACAGTTCATGGAATTCCTGGCATTAATCACTCTGTTATACAAGGAGCCGCCTTAGAATGTGATTCCCTCCCCCCCTTGTTTCCATGCTGTATTTTGCTTCTCAAACTTTTTCAAATTTGTCCTATTGTCCAACATTTTAAACGATTCTCAATTGGTCAACAGAGAAGTTTTATCTTAATCCATGAAGTACATCATGGCTGTTGTTGTGGTTTTTAAAGTTGTCATTTTATCTCTGGGTTCACATTATTGAGCCTAGACTGGAATAAGTCTTTTTGATCGTGAGGAGGCTGAGTCCATCTCAACCTATAATAATCATCCTTGCATTTGCTATCACAGTTTTAACATTGGAAGTGCTTCACGGGATGTTCTGTGAATTGCAGCAGCTCCTCTATGGGCACATCTACATCAAAATCTTCATTGTCAATACAACATTCCTATTGAAATGATTTGTGCCAGGGAATTTAGGGACGGCTACCATAATGGAGGAAATTTCTGTCGTGGCATCGACTATAATAACTAATTGCAGTGCAAATAAAAAAAAGCATCTGTGCACAAGAAATTAATGTTGTAATTTTTTTTCTTATGATTCAATATTCATTCCGTAAGATGGTCAAAGTGAAAGTTAAGACAAATCTAAAAAGGAATCATCCCTGGCTACATCAATGTTGTGACGTCTTTTCAAAATAGTACTTAATTAATTATTTTCAAAAGAGTATTTCATTAAGATATCTTCCTGGGTTAAGTAAACCATATTTAATATTGAACTACAAAATCATGTTGAAGTGCTTTCTTTTCATTTGGGTATGCTGCTCTAATGCTCTGTATACCTATAGAAATTTTTATTTCATTCTTGGAAAGGAGAATTCCAAGCTGTGCTCTCCTTGAAGTTGGTGCATGGGTGTACACGCTTTCTCTCTCTCTTCACACACCACAAAGGAGTTTATTATTATTATTACCACCAGAAAAGTGATCCATCTAAAATTTAAATGTTATGAGTTAATACACCTTTAAAAATGAGGTGTGCGCAAACCTAACATTTCTGAAGAATCTCTATTTCAGAAATGGAGTGGACATGAAAAATCCCATGGGACTATGCAGAAAGAGCAGGGAGTTTCTCCCATTGTCCTGGCTAACAATCCTCCTGGATAAAATTGCTCATTCACTTCATGGCTGTTTGTGGGACATTGATGTTTCAGAGTACCTGCTGTGTTTGCCTATAAACTACAGTCACTACACTTTACAGTAAACCTGTGAAGTGTTTTCAGATATCCTCCTTATGTGAAACTTACTGTATCAAATATAATTTTTTTTTAAATCAATACCATCTCCCATACCTATATATTGTTTTTCCTTTACTTGGACTCTGTGGTATTTGTTGCTGCTATTCTATATCTTATCACTTTTCTGAGTTAACAAAACAAATGACCATCTTCTGGTTACTACCACTTTCTTTTCTTGGATTCATTTTCTCCTTCTGCTTCTTTCTCCTGCTGCTTGGTCAGATTGTTTTGATGGTGGGGGAGGGAGAAAAGATGGGGTTAAATTTTTTTCTGATGTTGTAAGTATTTTCTTCATCTTGGATCTAGCCCTTGCACCTGTTTTTGGTGTTCTACAAATACTTTCTTCACTTTTTATTGAAGAATGCGATTGCTAAAACAGTCATGACCTGCTGCACTCTGCTCATCCCACTTAGTGGAACTTCTGCAGCACTAGTTACTGCCCCAGCACTGAGCACTCCACTCAGCTGCCTGAGATAATCTATCTCATTGCAGTCGGTGTATCCAAATTACTTTCCAGTTTTACCCGACAGCTGAGTTAAAAGCTACACTGAATTTGCATTAAAACTAATGTCCATTCACATTGAAAAATGTAGAATTGTATTGAAAATATTACGTTAGTTTACATATTTGTATATTTCCATTTTGTTCACATGGTAGTTTTGGTTGTGTAGTTTTACACTAATCTATTGTCTGTACTTGTACTGTACTCATCTCAGTAAATACAGGATAGTGCATATAAGGAGCTATGTTTTTAGGTACCCCATTTTGGGACTTTGAACTCAGTCTTGGCTGACACTCCAATATAGTGCTGGGTGGGAGGGGTTCACTGCTGTTCTTCGGATGAGATGATAAACTGAGCTTTTATCTGCCTTTCAGGTGGATATGAAAGATCCTATGGGACTATTTGAAGAGGGGGTTCTCCTTGTATCCTGGCCAACAATCCTCCAGATACAATTGGTCATTTGTTGCTGTTTGTGGGACATTTCTGTGTCATTTTGGCTACTGTGTTCACCTACAAATTTGGTTACTGCATTTTATGGTGAATCGTTTGAAAAGCTTTGAGCTGTCCTCCCTATATGAAAAGTGCTGCATAAAATGCAAGGATATTTTTTATTCTTGTATGATGTTGGGTTGTGTCCTGTTGCAGTGTTTGTGTGCTCACATTTTCTCACTAAACCAATGTGTACTGCAGCAATTAGAGAGAAGTGTATCTTTGCAGACCTCTCAATCTTAATGCCCTGCCCTTTCACCAACTATGGCGTTTGGGACTCCACCTTATAGAAAGGCTATATTAGCGATGGAGCAAAGCAGCCTTGGATTACGAGGATAATACTGGAGATGGATGGGCATATCTATGAGAAGTGGCTAGAAAATTTAGAAGTGATCTAATCGAGGTGTTTAATATAATGAGGATTTGAGATGATCAATGGTAAGAATATTTCCTCAAGTGTGTAATTCAACAGCAAATTGAATGTGCCTTTCATGTCTGGAGGACTTCTCAAGGTGCTGGACAGTCAGGGATTTGGACTCGAGCAGGGGGTTGGGATCAGGAGGAGTGGAGAGTAGGGAAGGTAGGGGTAGGAGGGTGACCGAAGGCTCAGTCGAAGAGGAGGGTCTTGAGACATGCCTTCAAAGAGGTAAGAGAGGAAATAAGGGGAAGGAACTGCGGGATGGAGTTCCAAAGGGTGGGGGCAGAGAGGCTGAAGGCCCAACCGCCAATGATGGGGGACGTGGAGCAGGCCAGAGCCTGCTGAGTGGAGGGAATGGACAAGTAGATATTCAAGGACAAGAGTTTAAAATTATAACGTGGAGTGCGAAAGAACTGTTTCTCCCAGAGGCTTGTCAGATGGGGAGCTATTTGCCAGCGCAAGCTGTTGGTGGCATTGAAAAAGGGAATTAGACAGGCATGTGCAGAGAAGAGGATTGGGGAAAGAGCAGGGAATTGAGATTGGAATACACAGCCTCTTAGACGAGCAAACACAGACACGGAAAATGGGCTGAACTAGCAGTAAAAGCATGGCTGTCTGCCCACAAGCTCTGGAATTTGTCGCAATGTTGACGTTTGTGTGAAGTGCTTTAATTAATGTGCATTTTTTTTAGTGCTTACCCCTACAATCGACTGCAGCATTGGTATAATTACAAAGATGCTATTTTATGTAATGCAATCTGTCCACCTATACACAGCAGTTAACATTAATGTTTTGGGTAGTGTTTTTGTATATAAATATATTTTGGAACCACTCCTAAGAAAGAAATCTTCCTCTGAAAGCTTTTTTTTCCCCTTCCCTGGCAATTATTGTGCTGCTGTTAGAAGTTCTCATTAGTATTACAAGTGATTTGTTTAGGTCCCATTTGCCTTAGAAAGTAGACAGGAGTGGCATTCTCCTTCCACCCTCTTAGCTCAGTTGCTCTTTCAATAAAACATGGAGAGTAATAAATATGCTTTCAACATACTTAAAGGTTTCCTCTTATCTTGAGTTGGGTTCTTGACTCATCAAAATTTCTCCTAGAGTTGAGATCAGCTGCTGTGTTTGCTTCCATAATAACAAACATTTAATTTCTAATTAATGTCATTCAGTAAAGAGCTTTGAGAAAATTATTTTACTTAAAAGGCGCTGTATAAATATAAAATGGGCCAAACTGCTTCCTCTTGTGTGAATTTCTTCTAGCTTCGATGATTTTTGAAGAGTGTGTGCAAAACATTTCAGGCTGAGATTGGTCTATGGTTTACCCTTTCCAAAGGCCCTTCCACCCTTGGCTCAGGTACCCATCGTCCACTTTGAGACATCCTCCTGACATGAAAAATGTCATATAAATTTCCCACAAATTGGAAAAATATGTAGTGTTCCATGTACTCTCAATCTCAAGGTTTTGTCTTTGTGATATTAAGCACACTCTATAAATTGATCAGCTTCTCAATTAGAATTGTGTGTGTGGGGAGGTGGGGATGACCTACTCTGCAAACTCATGTGTAGGTGGGAGAATGGTTTTAAAGTGCCTTTTGCACATGGGGGAAATCTCAAAGGCTTCACAGTGCAATTTTTGCAATTCACTTTAAAGTCTAGTGACTATTTTTTGTAGGTAGCTATGTTTGTAATGCAGCAGCTAGTGTACATACAGCAATTCTCTACAAACAGTCTCAAAGTGAAATATGTGAGTCTTACAGCAGGACCAAACGATGCATTGAGTTGTGTGAGGCTGCATGGTTCTTGCACTAAAGTAGTACAGAGCATTAGAAAATCAGTTATTTGCAACCAGGAGTACCAGTTATGTGTGGAACTGTAAAAAAAAGTATTCTTGGGGTTGCAGATTTAATTAGAAAACAAGAATTGTGTAGCTCACAAAATCCTTCCAATACATTCCTGTGGGTAAATTAAACTCATTTTGAGTAACCCACAGGAATTAGGTTGGTAGGGTTTTTGATTCATGTGCACACACCTCGACACCAAGTTGAATCATACTGTTAGGGAGACCAAGTGCTTCCATTCCAATGAGTACAAATCAGAGGGAGTAGCCTGGGGTGTGCCCATGTACCTCATGCCTGCAGGAGGTAGTCAAACATCCTACCATGCATTTATTACTTCCACAATTGTATGTTTCCCTGAATTACCAAATTCTAAAGTTTCTATTTTTGAAGATGTTTCAAAAAATATTTCAGGTAAGCTTTAGTTGAAACAAAAAAAAATGAATAGGTAGGTGTTGTAGTGGCAGAGCGCTGCTGCACATGGTAGTAGAATAGAAGTTCTTTTCTTCATTTCTGTACATAAGTTCCCCAAATGTTTAAATCATAGTAGGAATTGGGCAGCACTGTTAGTTTGAGGTGAATGAGAGTTTCCAAGTGATCTCTTCAAGAAAAAGTTAACTTGAACTTTTCTCAAATATAATAGTATAATAATAATAATCCTTGCATTTGATATAGTGCCTTATCACATCTTTGAGACTTCTCAAAGCAATTCACGGAATATACTGTAAAGTGAATTCACTCTATATCTTGTGGGCGAAACGCAGCAGCCAATTGCGCACAGCAATGTCCCACGAACAGTTGTGGATTGAGTGACCCATTTATTATTTTTTTTTTGAAGGAATTATTACCCCTGGAAAAGTGATCTGCCAATCGACTAACTACTGGGTTCCTACTTACTGCTAGATAAACAGATAGTGTAGTGCTGCTGGTGAGCTTTCTTGTTTAGTTTTTAATCCTTTCAGCCTTTCATCATAAAAGGAGAGTAAAATATATACAGGCTGAGTCGAATGGGTTTGTTTTCATTGTATAAAATCTCAAGCTCTGCCACTGTGTCATATGGTGACCTTGCCTGAAGATCTGTACCATTATCTAATTACCAGGCCATGTACATATTCAATGTAGCTGGTATATCCACACTAATGCCAGATTTGGTAATATTTATTTCCTTGAAATAGGAGCAGTGGAAGTAAAACGCTGAATGTAAATGCAACATAAGAGCTCAGAGATGCTACCCCACAAGAAGAGCACAATATAAATTCAAGCTGATGTGATGAAATTGAGAGAAATCCTTAAATGTGTTTCTTCTACACTGACAATATTCTTGTTTCTTTCTGTTAGAAACAAGAAGGCAGACTTGTGATAAATTGGATAGGGAAAGAGAAGAACTAGAGAAGAATTATCAAGGAGTGATTCAAAAGCTGTCTGAAGAACACCAGACTGAACTTCGAGAGCTTGAAGAAAGGCTTCAGCAGCTCTTCACTGCAGAACAGGAGCGGCTGCAACAAGTACTCAATGATGACCTGGGAAAGCTACAAACACAATGGCAGGAGCAGGTACGTACCTTCAGATCAGAGGTTGTTGGCCAACTAAATAAATTTATGCCATAGATCAAGAAATACTGAATCAAGAAAAAACTGAAAGCACAGTACCGATTGAACACGGACCTACCTGGTCTTGTGTAAATGTTTGGTTGCCCGCTACTTAAAGGCCACACCATTGCTTTGGATCATCTTTTATACAATTGAGGTGAAGCCTCACTCCCTGGTAGGATATTTTTTATATACAGTGCCTAAGTGTATTGTCTATATAAGAGTGAGACAATTGTTATATTGTCTTATTAGATGGGCACCATACTTGCTCTGCTCATTTGCCCTTTACTCTGATACCACATTGTCTGTTATGGTGGTTTTATGAGTGCGGTCGAAAATTTCATTTTCTTCCCTACTTTGCCTTTCTCAGGCAGTCAGATCTGCTCACTGGAGTCCTCTGCCATCGAGAGGCCACTATCAGTATCAGTGCTGATGGAGACTTTATCTTCATTTATGATGATGTTTTAAATTGTAGATTAAAGTGAGGATCCTACATTAGTAATGCCCTCTTATTGACCCCAAATGTAGTTTACTATGATGCTTTAATTAGAGGCAAATAACCTATGCCATCAGGGGTTGCCATCGGGGGTGGTGAACGACCAGTTATGTTCACTATCACTTTTATAAGAATAAAATCCTTTTATAATCTATATTTCAATGTAATATGCTAAACTATGAAATTAATACTAATTTGAAGGTTTCAGAACTGTTACAGAGTCCAGTATTCTGAGTTTGCATGGCAGACTATGGATATAATACTCATAATGGTATAGTATGCAAAACATGGCTTGGTTAGCCCATAAATTTGGAGATTTCTACTCGGAAGGTGCAGTTTTATTAATCCATTGTAGTTGTTTTTAAAAAACATGATGATATTGCTTCTTATAAAATGCACAGTCATAGTGGGTCATGGTAAAATATAAGTGATTATGTAATTAATTTAAGTCATGGATTATTCCTGGTAAAATTCTGCATTTTACATTACACTGGAGCACCAGATTTCATATTGCCTGCTTAAAAACTCTTTTCAAATTTAGGTTGAAGATATAAACTCCAAGCATGAAACTCATAAATTGGGACTGATAACAAGTCATACAAAGAAATTGGAGTCTCTCACAGAAGACTATGAACAGTCTCTTGCAGGTAATGGCTGCTGAATAAGGGATTTTGTGACAATAAGATATTTGGATACAATGTATCTGAAAGTTGGAATACTTTGTCATACAATTGGATGATTGAAATATGTGAGCACGAATATGAAATACTGCTTAATGAAACAATGTAATTATAAAAAGGTGTCAAATCAGCCCTTGTAATTCATTCCAAATTTGGCTTTGTCAGATGAGTCTCTTTTCTAGATCAGACATTGTGGCTTGAAGCCCCACTTCAGAACTTGTGCTCACGGTCTGGATTGACATTACAATGCAAATTTGGGGCAGTGCTTTTTCATCAGAGGTGCTATATTTTGGATTAAGTCCTGGCTGCTTCTTCAGGTGGACATTAAGGATCCCATGACACTTTTAATAGTGAAGCGGGTTTTGCCTGATGTTCTGACAAGCAATCCAACAGATTAGCTGGTCATTCATTGGGTGGCTCTCAGAGTTTGGGATGCCCCCAGAGTGTATGTTGGGATCTTCCTGCAAAAAGCATGTAGCTTTCCATTCAGGGCATGTTTGACACTGGCTTGCAGGGTTAACAGAAGCCAAGCGCAGAGGAAGCAACAAGGATAATCCTCAGTGTTAGAGGAATGAGCAATGAGCAAAAATGAGACAGGGCTCATCAGTCTTGAGAGAAGATGACTCAGAGGGACCTCAGAGAGATATATAACATTTTAAATGGAATTGAATAAGTAAACCCAGGTCAATACTTGGTATGCAAAAGCACAGTAGAAAAAGAGGACATTGGTTTGAGTTGCAAAGGGCAAATTCAGGACTGATACCAGGAAGTTTTACTTTACTCGGAGTGTAAATGATTGGGTCAGGTTTCCAGGAAGGGTGGTTGGGGCCAGGACACTGAACATTTGAAAAGCATCTTAATGCTGTAATGGGAAGACAGGTGGGTATCCTGGAGGGTTGAGGTTAGATGGGCTGAAGGCCTTCTAAATCCAAACCAATCTTATGAAGAGGGAAGAATCCCTACTCCCAATGACTGGTCTGCCTTTCCAAGTTCTGCCAATGAGACAGATTGGCTGGTCTGTCATCAGTGGTGTCCTATGGACCCACCTGGCTTAGGAAACGGACTAGTGAATCCGCCACACAGGGTTAATTCAAATCCGACATCTTATTGTGAAGCTCTTTGAAACCAGCTCAACTGGCACAGAAATTGTGCAATGCGTTGAGACTTTTCATCTAAAGTGCTATAAAATTACAAATTTTCTTTCACATTGTTCTTTTGTAGAGCTGACAAGATCATATGAACTGGAAAAGCATTCCCTCGAAGAAACCTTTAACCAGACACAATCACAACTACAGGTTAGTTATTTTGAGAGGTAATCAAATATATCGATTAGAAATTATTTTGCATAATGGTTTCCTTCATATGTTTAATTAGTTCTGGAAGCTAAAGAGATTTGACTTGAATGCCAGGTTTTAAATTTAGCACAAACGGTAGAAGTGTATTGCATCTCTTAGGTTATACAAGCTTGGGTGTGCAACTCGCCTCATCTTAAAACCTTTCACGGTTTTAAATAGTGTGGACAATGGGCCACTTCCCTTTTTCTGTAGGGAAGTGGTATGTTTTCTTTCCTTCTCCATGTCATACATGCACTTTAACAAGCTAGTAGCGAGCGACAGCAGCAAAAACAAATGAAGTGGTATTGAAGAAACTTGTACCTAAATGTTACCACTGGCACTTCAGTCTTTCATGAAGCCCTTATTGGAAGTCCAATGCCATGAAACCATGCAGCCTAGATCCCAGCAAACAAGGTGTCTGTGTGTGGGTGGCCTAGTAACTGCCCTCTGCATACAAGTTGCTGCAGCTTGATGGTCTTCTACACTGAGATTGGCAGGAATAGCTGTATCATTGTGAATGCAGGAGGATGAAAGCTGCTGTGTGAATATTGGATTCTTCCAAATGTTTGTTTGAGATGGATGTTCAATTTCAATTGTACTTTTCAGGAACAGATTTCAAAACTAAATGAGGAAAATAATTCTTTGAAGGAGAAAGTCAAAGCTAAGGAACAGGTCACAAAAACACATGTGCAACAAGATCAAGTAAGTTCCCTTTATATAATTCAGTGGGGATTTTTTAAAATTGTGTTTTTCAAAGGTCACAGCAAAAAACTGTAGATCAACTACAATTTGTACTGATGCTTCTAGCCTTTAACAATGCTATTTACCAGCACTCTAGGCAGCTTTCTCAGCTCATTATTGAGCGCTTGCTATAGATGCTCCTGTTCTGCAGTGAAGAGCTGCTGAAGCTTTTCTTCAAGCTCTCGAAGTTCAGTCTGGTGTTCTTCAGACAGCTTTTAGATCACTCCTTGATATTTCTTCTGTAGTTGGGTATGAGATCAGAGAGCTAAGGAGGTGCTACGTCATGAAGTGATTTGAATGCAAGGGTGAGGATTTTGAAGTTGATTAGCTCAGAGACTGAGCCCTTGGAACCTGGTGAGGATTGCAGTGATGGGCGTGCATTGTTTTATATTTTTTCTACATTAGTTGCATTTCCACTATTGGCGCACGGACCTTCAATCACTCTGCTCCCACCCTCTAGAACTCCATCCCGCAGTCCGTCTGCCTCGGCCCTCCCTTGCCTCCTTCAAGACCCTCCTCTTCAACTGTGCCTTCGATCACCCCCCCCCCGCCCCCCCGCGCCAAACACCCTCCCAATCCCGATCTCCAGCTCGGGTCCAAAATACTGACTGCTCAATGCCTTGGCGTCCTCCCAACATGAAATGTAATAAATGTGATAAATGCAACTTTGTTGTTGTTCTAGATGTAGGGGAAAAATTGAATCTGGAGCCAAGTGAAATCTGCATGGAAACATTTTAAATACATGACAGCTTGTCTTACTATTCAGAAATTAACCCTGTTTAAGAATGCCTAATTTTATTTTCAGAAAATTTCACCCCAGAGCCTTTATCTCGAGCAAGAACTGGAAAGTTTGAAGGCAGTGCTGGAGATCAGAAATGAGAAAATACATGAACAGGAAAAGAAGTTGATGAAGATGGAAAAGCTGGTAAAATGATGTGGGGAATATGACTGACCAAGTACTATCCAGTGGAATAACTGGACAATTAGCTTAATATTATAAGTGTGTGGGTGGGGAAGGAGAGGAAATTTGCTTGAAATGTAAATGGGACTGAAATGATTGTTCTTTCGAGAGTCAGCACAGAGACGATTGGACAAATCACCACCTTCTGTGCCATAAATATTTATGGTTCTATCAGCACCTTCAATAGTAAAAACAAATCAAGATTCTTGAGTTTTGGAGATCCAAGAGTGATGACAAAATTCATAGGAAAATTTGGCAGTAGCTTTGTTGCATTCACTTTGGATAGTGTCCCAGTGAACGTAGCTGATATTGCAGAAATGTAAGTCAAAGAATGTTTATTAACATTTCCCCAGTTTTGTTGGCTTCAGTTCAACTTGTTGATTTAAACTGATTTCAGGTTGAGATAAGTTATAATTTATTTTATCTCTTTTTAGCGATTTTCAATCCAACTTACATTCTGGTGGAACTGATTAGACTTGCTAAATTTAGATTCAATTAAAAACTAAGTCTTATCTTTATAAATCGTATAATCATCTATTGATGAATGTGCCCTTACCAGCCAGCTGCATTGAATTGCAGGAAACCCAGTCTTGATCAGTTGATCCATATGCAGAAGAACTTCATTTCCCACTATTCAATGCAGCTGCATGTGCTTTACCAGCTGCATTGAAATACACCCGCCCATTGCAGATTATTGATTAAATTGGATTTTATGCAACTTAATCAGTTTGCCTATAACTAGGAATTCTCGTAAGTCATTAATTGTTAGGTTCCTGACTGAAATGACTTATATGAATTTTACTGTATTTGGCTTTTATCTTTCTTTTACTTACTTGAAAAACTCGATCTGGAGTGATGATTGTGTGTGTGTGTGTATAAGAAGTTTGTTTTTGTTTCTAGATGGAAAAACATGTCGAGTTGGATGAAAAATTTAATCTTGTATCACAAGAAAATGAAGACCTAAAAGCACGAATGGACAGACATGTAGCTTTGTCAAGGTAAGTGATGGGGATAACTGTTTAAAGCCCTGAATAAAGTATTTAATATGCATACAAAAAACATTGGGGGAGGGGAAAGAGATGGAACTTATGTTATTCCTAATTTATTTTGTTCCTTAGTTAAAGAATGGTTTATTGCTCAGACCAATCAGTCATCAAATGGAGCACTGAAATCTTTGGCCAACCCAGAGACCAGTAGCACTTTTTGAGCCTTGTGATCAGAGGCTTTCCTCACAAAAAAACACAAGCTGTTGCTCAGAATTTCCTCAGTTTCTGCCATGGCTGCTAGACTGCAGGGCACTCACAATACATGTGAATTAAAACTCTCTCTCCCTTCTGAGATCTCCACATGTGTTTTGCTTTGCACTCTGTTGTGCAACTTGCTTTGTTGTGGGATTAGCCTATTTGCTCACACATTTCACCCACAAAATATACAGTCAAAGCAGATCTCTTTTCTGGGGGTAATAATCCCTCAAAAAAAATCCATGACTGTTTGTGGGAGACTCCTGTGCACAATTCGCTGCCATGTTTCACCCACAAAATACAGTCAATTCACTTTACAGTATATTCTATGAAGCACTTTGAGCCATCTCAAAGACGTGATAAGGCGCTATATTAAATGCAAGGATTATTACTATTACTATTCATGGGGGCTGTTGGTGTACATTGTTGTTCGTTAAACATCTTCACAGTTTTGGGAGGAAAGAAATCTGTCACTGTTAGGAGATTTGTCGCATTAGACGTCTGATGATTCCTCTCTTTCACTGCATGTTTCTCTCAAAAAGATCCAATCTTCTTGTAGCCAGTAAAGGGTTTATGTGTTACAACTATACAGATATGTTTAGAATTAAACTATTTCCCAATACAAATATATGGTAAACTATTATTTTCACACCTGTCTTCAGATATACACTAGGTTTGTTCTAGTTTAGTTTCTTAAATGAAAAGCAGAAAGATGACAATGCAAGAGACTTTATTCAAAGAACCCATTTTCTCCAAAAGGGCAGCTTTCTTAAAATAAAGACTCGTTGAAATGCTAGTGGCTGCAGAGTAAATTTTAGGTTTATGCATTTTTAGAAAAATGCAGACCTGAAACTTTTCTCTCTGAAACAGTAGATTGGGAGTTGGCTTTCAAATATCAAAAATGCACTTTTTCTTTATTTCCAGGCAACTCTCCACCGAACAGGCTGTGTTACAACAGTCATTGCACAAGGAATCCAAAGTGAACAAGCGTTTATCTATGGAAAATGAAGAACTTCTATGGAAACTACATAACGGAGATGTTCTAAGCCCTAAAAAAACATCTCCAAACTCCCCGACTATTTCCTTTCAACCTTCAAGGAATTCAGTCTCTCCATCTTCCAGTCATGCAACATCACCAAGGTGACACATTTCAAGCAACATGTGCCGTTCAGAATTATTGCCTGTTACCCCATCTGCTGATTTTTATGCCAATGGCCATTATGACAACTAAGGGCTCGAGGCTGTTAGCCCTGACAAATACAATCCTGTTTGTGGCTTAAAAATATGGAAAAGGCATCTCCTTCCTAAGTGTATGATAGACTGTATATAGAAAATATGTTGCACAAGAGCACTTAATTTACACAGCAAGAATTTTCTTGTGTTTGCCTCTTTTGCCTATTTAAAAAAAAACACTCAGGACATGTAGATATTTAATAGTTTAACTACGTTTCCTCAGTCACTTGTGGAATGGGATTGTTTTTAGAAAATTGGGCGTAAGTGCTGAGGAATGCCTTTATTGTTCACTGACAGGATGTTGATTTCTGAAATTGAAGATTTTTCTTTCCACAGTAGAATAAGTAAATCTGCATGTTGGCAATCTAAAGTTGCACTAAACATGACATAGAGGAATTTTAAACTGCTGAAGTAACAGTTGCCTGGTCAAGGTAACAATTGCCTGGCCTTTGAACGGTGTAAAATAAGCTGCTTTGTGCAGCCTGTGATCCTGATCTGTTAAATTTATGCAAATACCATATGTACAGATTTATAACGTAATAAATACAGTAGTCAGATCTGGTGCAATGGGTGACTATTTTAGAGTACATCAAAATGCTGTAAGCACTTAAGCAATATGAATTAAGTTGAAATTTGACTGTTAATGCAAATAGTGCTTGAACCCTAATCAGTCTTGGGACTCCTTATGCTTATTTGTTTCGCTTTATTTTTATAAAAGTCTATGGTTTAATTAAAGGAATATCTTTTTTTAAAAAAAGACTCATACAAAGATTATCCTGAGAAACATTGCAGTGAAACTAAGGAGACTTCTGTGATTCATAATTTTTAATGTTATGACATTTAAGTTCCTCTGCAAATTGCTTTGCTATCTTCCTTTCCCTCTTTTGCCCAATATAGTTTTGTACCATTTCCTGGCTGAGATGGATGGTTGATAGTGAATGGAAACTGTCGAGCAGCATTTTATGTAACCCTTCTTGAGCCAACCACAAGAGCAGACTGTGGTGACTCATCCTCTTAATGATTTTCCCTCATCAGGATGTAGATCGGTGATCTCCATTGACATGTGCAGTCTTGTCTTTTTTTGCACCGCAGGGCCACATAGTTTAATTATCATCTTCATAGCCATTTTGAGCTCCATACAAGTCTCTGTGCAACCAAATATTTTGACTTAACACGTGTTTATACACATTAACAAGTGCATTAAATAGAACATTTCACTGCAATATTTTCCAAGATAATCTTAGTGAGAACTAAAAGTATAATTGTAAATTGAAAGGTGAATCAGCATTGAATTTCCAGTTTTGTGGTAATGTTTTCTCTCTTGAGTGATGTTTCATAGGTCAAATAAAAACAAAACTATGCTTTATCCATTATACATACATTAAATTCCATGTTAAAAATCAAAGCCAACAAATAACTTATAAAAGGGTTTTAAAAGCAGGGAATAGAGAACATTACCAGGCAATTCGGTTTACTTTGAATTTCACTTCATTTCTATGCAATTTAAGACTTAAGCCAATAAATATGATGGAAGTTCAGTTTTTAAAAATGTATCCTTCGAATGAAATAACATTCCCTTGTCTACTATAAGTAAATCATTTCAAGTAACTTGTATAATACTTGAACTCATTTATTTGGATTGCTATAGTGAGCACTTGTTTGTCGCGGGTCACAAATTGTGTCATTTTTTTATTTGAAGCATTTCGTAGATGCTAGTTTTTTCTTAACTTTGATTTGCACTTCTAAAATTACAAGATGCAAAATTGCAAGTGAAAATGTTCATTACATAACTAATGGGTAAATATAGACCATTACATAAAAAATCAATAGTTAGTTAATGCCTTGAGTTACTCTTAAGATTGCTAATATTTGATATCCAGAGCAACTGCAGTGGACTGATTTGTATAAACCAACATTGACTCATCAGACATCTATTTAAAACTTAGTTGTATTTATTGGAAATGTTGGAACTCAAATTAATTGTTGGATGCGCTTGACAGTATAATCAAATATTGCTAACAAAACGTTTCTTCTCAGGTTTGCAAATAGATAAATTAATTTGAGACCTGATTGAAAAATTTACCCCATAAGACAGACTACCTGTACCATTTTAGATATTTGTTGCATCTCCATTTCAATAATTTAACATAGCTAAAAGGTATTACTTCTAACTTCTCATGTTGATACCCAAGATTCACAATCATTTTTTCTAGATGAAATTAGTTTCTGGTTACATTTTTGGATCATTTCGATTTTTATCGTACTGAATGCAGCATATGTTTTGGTTTCACAATGGTTTGATTAAACATATGCTTTCTGTGCATATTTAGGTAAATATAGAAGGAAAGTTATTGAAATGAATTACAATACAACAAAGCGCTCTCATTAAACTTATATTTTAATTGTACTTCCCCCCCTTAGTAATTACATTTTAAACTTTGTGCATTGTAAATGTATTTGTCAGTTTACCAGTTTAATAAAATCACTGCTGTATTCATTGAATTCAAATATTTATTTTCTCTCTGTGCTTTCTGAAGTGTAAAATCCATGTTTCCATCACGTGTGCTGTATCTGTGTGAATTCCTTCAGTCAGGGTAACTTAAGCAAACAAAAATCAGAAGGCTGCCTACTTGGTGGAGTTCCGATGCTGAAGTTGCACTGCTGTTTTTATCATATTGTGTGGACAAAAAGTAGGTTTAGTGTTCAAAATAATTGTCTCCGACTCTTAAAGCCAGACATATTGTTTGAAGAGCAGTGTTCTTGAAGAGCTGTGAAAGGAGTTTGTGTGTGGAACCTTTCAATACTGGAATAGTCTACCTGTCAAAACTTTATATTCTGGGAGCACAGATTACAGTTGCACCAGAACTTTCTGGCATTTAACAAATTTTCACTGACTGAGTATTTCGAAAATGTGGAATTGGCTGATTAAATGTACTCCCCTCTCACCCAAAAAATGCATCAAGTACACTGGGTTTACAAATGAGGCAGGTTCCCTTTTTAGACGATAAGCTCTCATTTTGGGGACATTAATTCTAAATTATGTATATAGGTTTATTCTGGAAATTGACATCATCGGATATTAATTTGGGCTTCAATAAGATGGTAATAAGATGTGAATGCAAAGAGGCTGTGCTGTCTGGAAAAGCTTTTCTACCAAGGCAACAATCAGTGTTGCAGATGTTTGCTCTCCTAATTTCTGGGTTCCAGCCTCAGGCTATTCACACTTGTACCAATCTGTGTGGTCAATGGGATGCCAGCGGTTGAAGTTGGGTTACATGTCTTAATACATTCCCCCTTTTAAATTAAGTTAAATGAATGCAAAGCCCCTTTGGTGCTATATCTGAAATGCAGCTGATGAAAGCAATGATTAAACGGCTTGAAATGGCACCACAAGCTTTAGCTGCCAATAGGAATGGGTAGTGTGGAATCTGAAATGGATTATAACCATTCAATCTAGCTGGCAGAATATTAACTACCTTGAATAGTAATGTGCAGTAGATCTCCATACCACATCAAATACTGGTTGTATAAAAGACTGCAATGTTGAAGAAACTCATGTTACCATAATAATTATTTTCTTTGTCACTTGATTTTTTGTCAAATAAAGTTTTGTTCGTGTTAACACTTGGATTTGCAGCCTCATTTTCTGATCTCACACACACCCCACAGTGCTTGAGACTATTTCCAAATGAATACTACTCAACTCTGATCTTTCTCTGTAGTAAATTTACCACTAATAACATTTACCATATTAGTCACACACTCCTTGGCTGTTTGTGGGACATTGTTGTACTAAATTGGCTGCTGCATTTGGAAATGTACTCTGTCATGTCTATATCCTTTTCAGCTCTTTGAGACGTCTCTACAGCATAAGGCATGGGAAACTATTTCATGGGTGAAAATGGTCAAAACCACTTTAGTGTTAAAGCGATAAGGCACTATATCAAATGCAAGGATTTTTATTGTCTGTTAAACTTGACATGTACTGAAGCATTGTTAGAGGGAGACCTGCAAGTAGAACTCAATTCCACTTGAAGATTAGTAAAAATGCACATACCGCACTGAAATATAGAAGAGGTAAACTGAGATTTAATCTGGAATACATTAGAATATACAGCACAGAAACAGGCCAACTGGTCTATGACAGTTTTTATGCTCCATATGAGCTTCCTCCTGTTCTTCAACTAAACCTTCAAGCATAACCTTCTATTCCTTTCTCCCTCATGTACCTATGTAGCTTTCCCTTAAACTGATGGTTTTGACTTTGCAGATTTCCTTCAGTTTGCTTGCCCTTTCTCCATCACTTTGCTTTTTTGCATGTGTTATCCCTGTGTATTGGTACTCCTATATATTGGAACTTTGCAATCCTCCAGTTTGAATCCTTAGCCACAGAGACTTAGTTTCTCCCAGATGCATATTTTCAGTAATCTGATGGCATATACTACCTGGATTTTGGACTGGACACCTATGGGTATATCCTGTGGAACAGGAGCTATTAATGGAGGTAAGGTGAAGTTGTACTGCCTAATCTAAGGCATCTGTCTAACTGAATGGGCACTTTGCATTCTTAGCTCCCCCAGTCCCCAGACTCTCATAATTTCAACCTCCCTTTTAATAGATGGTTCCTTTTTCTTTTCTGCTGTAATTCAAGACGAGTGTTGAACTTCATTTCCTGCACCATTTGCCGAGGAAATAAGTATGTTTCAAAGCAATGGATTGTACCATACACAGTTGTGTATGTGATCGATGGTAGAGTGCATGGCAAGAGATTGTTTTGCAGCCAATGATTGGAAGTTTAAAAAAAAATGTGTAGCAACTTGCTTGACCAAATACCAACAACTATCTCTGCATGTTGTACACAGTGTTACTTTCTATTTCTGCCACAAAGGACAGTGTGCATATACAAATGTGTGTCGCATCACTCTGGCTATCACAAGTAGGGTGCATTCCTCCAGTGAGAGAGTACAGAATCCATTCCAGACACTGAAATTTCTATGCTGAGGTGGAATACATGTGGGGAGCCATGTCTGGTTTGGATATTGTAAGCATGGTGATGGGTTTCTGCACATGTCCAATACCTGCTTGATCCTCCTGAAAAAATATTAGGAGTGGGTTTCAGTAGCTGAAGTAATTTGTACATCATCCACTTACAATGTTCCTCTTATAGCTGCTTAGAATTGCAACAGTTAGATATGAATTCACCTTTCTTAATCATTTCATGGTTGTGGAACATGGGATGGTGTTAGGGGTGGGGGTTGAAAGCTGTGAGCGCTAGTCAAAAGTATGGGACTATCAAATTGCCACTTTTAAGACTAACGAATAAATGAAGGGGCCAGACCAATCCTAATTTGTGTTTAGCGATTCATCCATTACAGCCAAATCAAGTTATGGCAGCTGATGCCAAAGGATATAAATCTCCTACTAATTGGATGAGGTTAAATGTACTAATGTTCTTGAATAATGCTTAATAATTCAATCTGATTAAGATTCACTTTTACTGCCCAATGGACAACCTACATTATAAAATGAGATCTTATTGTGAATGTTTAAGTCTCATTTAATCTTGCCCCAGGTCTTTATCACTCAACCTCACAAAAATGATATGGTTTTAGCTGGTTAGTCCATCTTAAAACTTACGACTTCAACCATGTCTATGGTTAACTCCCCTTCTCCTCCCTCCTCTGCTTGATGTTCACCTCCTGTTATTGTAAAGTGCTCTGACCTTATCCTACATGAAGGGTACTACATAAACACAAGTTGTTTATTCTTTTCATGATTTATTGATCGTAGTCAATGTCAGTTATTTTTTCAGCTTCATACATTGTGACGAAAGAATACAGGAGTGAAGGACCCATTATGCGCCACTGAGTCACAAAACTGTGCCAGCAAGTCCTCAAGGAGATTTGTCCCTCGAGGGCAGATTTGATGATGAGCCTTTTGATCTTGCCTATACTTATCTCTGAGAACACCCAATCACAATAAGCCGACTACAGCAGGGAATATGTTAAAGTTCTTCCAGCAATTGCCTCAATTTCATAGAATTTGTGTGTGTGTGTGTGTGTATCATTCCAATTTTTTTAATAAAGAGATTTCCCTCTATAGATGAAAGTGGGCCCATTTCCCACATTTAACTGCCTGCCGTGATGTACATTAGACACTGCGTTTAATATGTCTCATAACCTGCTATATCCCCTTGCTTATTAATAGTTGGCTTTGAAAAGGATGCATTTTGCAGTTTAATGTCATCTATAAATCATTTTGCTATTTCCCGAAGGAGCTGCAAGTACGGGAATACATATGCTGCTGTTTTGTGTTTTCTTCATCTGTGGTTAGGGAGAACACATTTTATTCACAGTGTAAAACTAGATATTGTAATCTGATTATGGTAAATTATTTTTTGTTACCTCCCCCACGTAATTCTAGGGATTCTCATCAAGATCATTTTGGTTTTCATGCACAGAGGTGCTACATTCTTTGGGAAATGAATGAAGATTTTCTCTTGCAGATGTCTTCAGCCTCCAGCTGTTATCAGGAACAATTCTAAGGCACTGGAACCAGGAGATGTGTTCATTTCAAGGATTGGAATATCTAAAGTCGTGAGTTCCCACATTGATGCACGAATACCACTTTGAAAAAAATTCTGTAATGTTTGTGACATTGAGGAACAATTTTACACAAATTCCTTCCATGTACAAAAGATTTGCTGGTGGAGCTCTGTCTATTGTCCTGCCAGCATCATTAGAGCAATAAAAACATAAAAGTAACTAAGATATTATTAAATTTGTGGCATAACATTTTATCAAAAATGCATGGTTGATTTAATATAATAATCTTAGGGGCGGATTTAAACTAGTGTCGAGAGGGGATGAGTATCCAAGGATAAAATGGATTGAAGATTAGAGGAAAAAGACAAGTGGGAAGTGTAGAGCAGGTACAAGCGGACAATTTCCTCAAATGTATGTACCTAAATGCACGTAGCTTAGGGAATAAGGTTGATGAGCTGCAGGTTCAACTGGCCGTAGGGGGTTACGATGTGGTGGCAGTAACCGAGACATGGCTCAAGCCAGGACAGGAATGGGAGTTAAATATTCCAGGATATAATGTGTTCAGGAAGGATAGAGAAGGAAGAAAAGGAGGAGGGGTGGCAATATTGGTTAAGGATACAATTATAGCTGTAGAAAGGAACGAGGCTCTGGAGGGCCCTACAATAGAATCCATCTGGTTAGAGATAAGCAATAAGAAAGGAGTGGTTACACTGATAGGGGTTTACTATAGACCACCAGACAGCGGGAAGGAGATAGAGGAGCAGATCTGCAACCAGATCGCGGATAGATGTAAGGCGAACAGAGTTGTGTTAATGGGGGATTTCAATTATCCCAATATAGACTGGCAAAATAGCAGCGCTAAGGGCAAGGCAGGAGAAAGATTCATAGACTGTGTACAGGAAAATTTTCTTGAGCAGTATGTCTCCAGTCCTACGAGGAAGGAAGCATTGCTGGATCTAGTTCTGGGGAATGAAATAAGTCAGGTTGAACAGGTTTCGGTAGGGGAGCATCAAGGTAACAATGACCATAATATTATTAGATTTAGATTACTCATGAACAGGGACAAAGTACAGTCAAGGGTGAAAATGCTTGACTGGAAAAGGGCTAATTTTGATGGGCTAAAAAGGGACCTAGAGTTGGTGGACTGGCAAGTAAGACTAGCAGGTAAAACAACTCATGAGCAATGGGAGATCTTCAAAGATATGATAGCTCAAGGTCTAAATAGATATATTCCCACAAAAGGGAAATGTGCAACAACCAAGCCAGCCTGGATGACCAGGGATATTCTGTCCAGGATGAAAAAGAAGAAGACGGCGTATGACGATTGGAAGACGCAAGATACTGAGGATAGCAAAGCGCATTATAGAGAATGCAGGAGTGATAAGACAGGCAAAAAGATCGCATGAGAAGAGGTTAGCGGGTAACATAAAGGGGAATCCTAAAATATTTTACAAGCACATAAAGGAAAAAAGGTTAGTTAAAGGTAGGGTGGGGCCAATCAAAGACAATGACGGCAATCTTGTTGTGGAGGCAGAGGGCATGGCTGATGTACTGAACGAGTACTTTGCATCTGTCTTCACAACGGAAATGGATGCCCCAAATGCCGCAGTATTGGATGAGAGGGTAGAGGAAATAGATCAGATTACTATAGACAGAGAGGAAGTTCTGAAAAGATTGACTGGGCTCAAAATTGATAAGTCACCAGGACCAGATGGGTTTCACCCAAGGTTGCTGTGGGAGATACGGGTTCAAATAGCGGAGGCTTTGGCCATTATATTTCAATCTTCATTGGACACAGGAGTGGTGCCAAGAGACTGGAGAGTGGCTAATGTTACCCCCTCTACAAAAAGGGGCAGAAAGACAAACCCGGAAATTACAGGCCAGTCAGCCTAACTTCGGTAATAGGAAAACTACTGGAGACCATAATCCGGGACAGAATAAATCTCTACTTAGAGGAACATGAGGTAATTAGAGACAGCCAACATGGATTTGTTAAAGGCAAATCTTGCCTAACAAATCTAATAGAANTTTTTGAAGAGGTGACTGCGAGGGTTGATGAGGGAAATGCGGTGGACAT